AAATATCTTTTCAACAATCTAAATGAAACTACATGTAGACATCATCAGATTGACAACATCAAAATCAAACTGATTATATACTCTCCATACAAATAAGGCAGTCCTCAATTTATAACCATTCATTTAGCAAACATTTGAAATTACAATGGCACTGGATGGCTGTTATGACTGGTCTTTGGAATTTCCTTCCGGACCAAAACCTCTTGTACTTAGGGATAGAAATTCCGGTCTCAATTCCCTATAAGCATGTTGGATGTTTATTCTTTTTAATTAGCAAAATTAAAACCTAATGCTGATTAAAGCTCAGTTCACAAACTCCTTTTTGCAAAATTGCAACTTACGCTAAGAAAAACAAAATCATCAGACCAACAAGGTACAACTTCAGCAGTAGTCCATATGATTATGAAATTACTATGAAGCATAGATTTAATGGATTAGGTTGGATAACTAGAATAAATTGGCATTGAAGTTCATGACATCATTAAGATGAAGCAAACAAAAATATGCCAAAATGCAAACAACAGCAGACAGTGAATTGGTGTTTAATGATACAGCAGGAAACAAAAGGCATCAGAGACAGAGGAATTTAAGTTCTGGAGAAGATTAAGAGACAAGCAGTTACATCTAAATAAGTAATGCAAAGAAACTGAAATTAACAACAATTGGAAGGAAAAGAGATTTATTTAGGATACTTACAGAATAAAAATCAAACTTTTATGCTAAGATAGACATGATTAAAGACAAAGAAGGCAAAGAACTGCTAGGCAAAAAAGTTAAAAAGGTTTGACCATTGTAATGTTAATTGGACTCTAGAACTTAGAGCTGACAATAAAGCTGCAGAAGCTCTTTTAAACCAACCAAACTTAAAACCTTTCAGGATGACAAGAGTTACAGCACTACTTATAATTTGTAGGCTGGTATAGAAAGCAGTAGTTAGGGGCCTGGAAAAGAGCAATTCTTATTTTAATACCAAAAAAAGGGCAGAAAGAATGCTCAGCTTACTGAACAACTACACTTATCCCTCAGGTTGGTTAAGATAATGTTCAAGGTTTGCAATCCAGAGTTTAACAATATCTGAAACTAAGAACTGCCAGATGTACAAGTCAGCCTCTAAAGAGGTAGAAGCTCCGATCACCTTGTACACTGCTACCTTATTTACCTTCTACCAGTGTTTCTCAACCTTACAATTTTAAGGCATGTGGACTTCAACTCCCAGAATTCCACAGCCAGC